AGCGAGGAGGGTATCCGAAAACCATACTATTTACATGGTTTCGTGCCCCTCCCACCCCTCCAGGGAGGCCCCGCCTGAGCGAGGAGGGTATCCGAAAACCATACTATTTACATGGTTTCGTGCCCCTCCCACCCCTCCAGGGAGGCCCCGCCTGAGCGAGGAGGGTATCGGAAACCATACTATTTACATGGTTTCGTGCCCCTCCCACCCCTCCAGGGAGGCCCCGCCTGAGCGAGGAGGGTATCCGGAAACCATACTATTTACATGGTTTCGTGCCCCTCCCACCCCTCCAGGGAGGCCCCGCCTGAGCGAGGAGGGTATCGAAACCATACTATTTACATGGTTTCGTGCCCCTCCCACCCCTCCAGGGAGGCCCCGCCTGAGCGAGGAGGGTATCGAAACCATACTATTTACATGGTTTCGTGCCCCTCCCACCCCTCCAGGGAGGCCCCGCCTGAGCGAGGAGGGTATAACCATACTATTTACATGGTTTCGTGCCCCTCCCACCCCTCCAGGGAGGCCCCGCCTGAGCGAGGAGGGTATCGAAACCATACTATTTACATGGTTTCGTGCCCCTCCCACCCCTCCAGGGAGGCCCCGCCTGAGCGAGGAGGGTATCCGAAACCATACTATTTACATGGTTTCGTGCCCCTCCCACCCCTCCAGGGAGGCCCCGCCTGAGCGAGGAGGGTATCCGAAAACCATACTATTTACATGGTTTCGTGCCCCTCCCACCCTCCAGGGAGGCCCCGCCTGAGCGAGGAGGGTATCCGAAAACCATACTATTTACATGGTTTCGTGCCCCTCCCACCTCTCCAGGGAGGCCCCGCCTGAGCGAGGAGGGTATCCGAAAACCATACTATTTACATGGTTTCGTGCCCCTCCTCCCTTCCAGCGGGGCCCCGCCAAAGCGAGGAGGGCATCAAGAAAATGGGTCCCACGAAATCGTTAATCTCTTTATGTGGGGAACTCCGTTAGCATAATTATTTTACACATATATATATATAATCTTGGCGAAGGACCCAACCATATGCAGTTGTGGGTACCGCAATTGTGAAAATCTTCTTCGGTGAAACTCCATATGGGGCCACGAAGCGCTGCACTGGGTGGGGGGGGACGCTGTTCTGGGTGAGTGGTGTGTCAAGTAAAGTTTCCGGGACGCATGCGGACGATCCCACTGGGGGCTCCGGTGGAGCTCCCTATGGGGCCACGAGACGCTGTACTGGGTGTGTGAAAATGCCAAATTGGGCTGCAGGGGCGCGCGCGGACGGTCCCACTGGAGGCTTCGGTGGAACTCCCTATGGGGCCACGAAGCGCTGTACTGGGTGAGTGAAAATGCCAAATTGGACTTCTGGGACGCATGCGGACGGTCCCACTGGGGGCTTCGGTGGAACTCACTAAGGGGCCACGAAACGCTGCATTGGGTGGGTAAAAATGCCACGTTGAGTTTTCGGGACGCAAGCGGACGGTGGCACTGGGGCCTTCGGTGGAATTCCCCACGGGCCTACGAAATTCTGGACTGGGTGGGTGCAAATGCCACAATGGGTATTTCGGGACGCTTGCAGACGGTCCCACTGGGGCCTTTGGTGGAGCTCCCTGTGGGGCCACGAAACGCTGCACTGGGTGAGTGAAAATGCCACATTGGGTGTGCGGGACTCATGCGGACGGTGGCACTGGGGCCTTCGGTGGAGCTCCCTATGGGGCCACGAAACGCTGTATTGGGTGGGAGAAAATGCCAAATTGGGTGTTTCAGGACGCACCCGGACGGTCCCACTGGGGGGTTCGGTGGAGCTCCCTATGTGGCCACGAAACGCTGTACCGAGAAAGAGGGACACATGTGGACGGTAGCACTGTGGCCTTCGGTGGAGCTCCCCTATGGGGCCACGAATCGCTGTACTGAGTGGGGGGGACGCATGTGGAAGGTGGCACTGGGGCCTTCGGTGGAGCTCCCTATGGGGCCACGAAGCGCTGTATTGACTGAGGGGGACGCATGTGGACGGTGGCACTGGGACCTTCGGTGGAGCTCCTAAGGGGGCCACGAAACGCTGTATTGAGCGGGGGGGACGCATGTGGACGGTGGTACTGAGGCCTTCGGTGGAGCTCCCTATGGGGCCACGAAACGCTGCACTGAGTGGGGGGGGGACGCATGTGGACGGTGGCACTGGGCCTTGTGGAGGGGGCCACGAACGCTGTACTGAGTGGGGGGACGCATGGACGGTGGCACTGGGGCCTTCGGCGGAGCTCCCTAAGGGCCACGAAACGCTGTACTGAGTGGGGGGACGCATGTGGACGGTGGCACTGGGGCCTTCGGTGGAGTTCCCTATGGGGCCACGAAACGCTGCACTGAGTGGGGGGGACGCATGTGGACGGTGGCACAGGGGCTTTTGGTGGAGCTCCCTATGGGGCCACGAAACGCTGTACTGAGGTGGGGGGACGCATGTGGACGGTGGCACTGGGGCCTTCGGTGGAGCTCCCTATGGGGCTACGAAACGCTGTACTGGGTGGGTGAAACGCAGGGAAGAGGGGGAGGAGGGAGGAGGATGGAGAGGAGGAGGAGAGGAGAGGAAGGAGAGGAGAGGAGAGGAGAGGAGAGGAGAGGAGGAGAGGAGAGGATGAGGAAGGAGAGGAGAGGAGAGGAGAGGAGAGGAGAGAGAGGAGAGGAGAGGAGAGGAGAGGATTGAGGGAGAGGAGAGGAGGAGGAGAGGGAGGAGAGGAGAGGAGAGGAGGGAGGAGGAGGAGGGAGGAAAACGCGGGGACCGTCTTCAAAACGAGGACCCAACAACACATGTTGGTTGGGAATATATATATATATATATCCTGGCGAAGGACCCAATCATAGGCAAACGTGAATACCGCAGGGCAGGTGGGACGAAGCAAAAGCAATTCTCTATGGGGCCACGAACCGTGTGAGGGCTGCGCCAAAACAGGGCGGGGCCGCCATGCGAACCCGGCCACCCGGGGGGCCTTCGGTGGAGCTCCCTATGGGGCCACGAACCGTGTGAGGGGTGCGCCAAAATGGTGCGGGCCGCCATGCGAACCCTGCCACTGGGGCCTTCGGTGGAGCTCCCTATGGGGCCACGAACCGTGTGAGGGGTGCGTCAAAATGAGGCGGGGCCGCCATGCGAACCCTGCCGCTGGGGCATTCGGTGGAGCTCACTGTGGGGCACGAACCGTGTGAGGGGTGCGTCAAAATGAGGCGGGGCCGCCATGCGAACCCTGCCGCTGGGGCCTTCGGTGGAGCTCCCTATGGGACCACGAACCGTGTGAGGGGTGCGCCAAAATGGGGCGGGGCCGCCATGCGAACCCTGCTGCTGGGGCCTTCGGTGGAGCTCACTATGGGGCCGCGAACCGTGTGGGGTGTGTGCCGAAATGGGGCGGGGCCGCCATGCGAACCCTGCCACTGGGGCCTTCGCTGGAGCTCCCTATGGGGCCACGAACCGTGGGAGGGGTGACGGTGATGATCTCGGCGATGATGCTGACGATGATGGTGATGATGACGGTCGTGAGGGTTATGATGATTATGATGGTGATAACTGTGATGATGACGACGACGATGATGATGATGACGATGATGATGGTGGGAAGACTGAGGAGGGGGATGAGGAGTGAGGAGACGCGGGGCGCTGTCTCTTCAAAACGAGGACCCAACACCACAGGATGTTGGGAAAAAGAGAGAGAGAGAGAGAAAAGAAAAAAAAAAAAAAGGCAAAGGCCCCAACCATACGCAAGTGTGAAAACCGAAAGGCAGGTGGGACGAAGCAAAGGGAATTCCTCATGGAGCCACGAACCGTGTGAGGGGTGCACCAAACTGGCGCGGGGCCGCCATGCGATCCCTGCCACTGGGGCCTTCGGTGGAGCTCCCTATGGGGCCACGAACCGTGTCAGGGGTGCACCAAACTGGCGCGGGGCCGCCATGCGAACCCTGCCACTGGGGCGTTCGGTGGAGCTCCCTATGGGGCCACGAACCGTGTGAAGGGTGCCCCAAAATGGTGCGGGGCCGCCATGCGAACCCTGCCACTGGGGCTTTCGGTGGAGCTCCCTATGGGGCCACGAACCGTGTGAGGGGTGCACCAAACTGGCGCGGGGCCCCGTAAGGGGTGCGCCAAAATGGCGCGGGCCGCCATGCGAACCCTGCCACTGGGGCCTTCGCTGGAGCTCCCTATGGGGCCACGAACCGTGTGAGGGGTGCGCCAAAATGGCGCGGGGCCGCCATGCGAACCCTGCCACCGGGGCCTTTCGGTGGAGTTCCCTATGGGGCTACGAACCGTGTGAGGGGTGCACCAAAACAGGGCGGGGCCGCCATGCGAACCCTGCCACGGGGGCCTTCGGTTGAGCTCCATATGGGGCCACGAACCGTGTGACTTCGGTGGAGCCCCTATGGGGCCACGAACCGTGAGGGGTGCACCAAACTGGCGCGGGGCCGCCATGCGAACCCTGCCACTGGGGCCTTCGGTGGAGCTCCCTATGGGGCCACGAACCGTCAGGGGTGCGCCAAAATGGCGCGGGGCCGCCATGCGAACCCTGCCACTGGGGCTTTCGGTGGAACCCCGTATGGGGCCACGAACCGTGTGAAGGCCGCCATGCGAACCCTGCCACCGGGGCCTTTCGGTGGAGCTCCCTATGGGGCTACGAACCGTGTGAGGGGAGCGCCAAAACGAAGGGCCGCCATGCGAACCCTGCCACTGGGGCCTTCGGTGGAGCTCCCTATGGGGCCACGAAACGCTGTACTGGGTGGGTGAAACGCAGGGAGGAGGGAGGAGGGGGAGGAGGAGGGGGCAGCGGGAGGAGACGCGGGGCACCGTCTCTTCAAAACGAGGACCCAACACCACAGGATGGTTGGGAAAAAAGATAGGGAAGGAGGAAGGCGGAGGGAGGGAAAGAGAGAGAGAGAGACAGAAAGAGACATTGAGAGAGCTGGAGAGAGGGACCAGCAGAAGAGAGGCGGGCGGGGCAGGGCAGGACAGGAAGGAGGGGGGGGCGAGGGGGGCGGCGGGTCGCACCCCCAGGCGCGGCTTGCCCAGGACGCTCCGCTTGAACTGGGCGGCCGCGGGGGCGTGGCGGGCGATGCACGCTCCGCATCCTCGTCCTCCTCCTCCTCCTCCTCCTCCTCCTCCTCCTCCTCCTCCTCCTCCTCCTCCTCCTCCTCCTCCTCCTCCTCCTCCTCTCCTCTCCTCTCCTCCTCCTCCTCCGCCTCCTCCTCCCCCTCCTCCTCATCCTTGTCCTCGTCTCCCTGACAGCGCTTGCACTCAGAAAGCCTTACCTCTCCTCCAAGGAACTCTGCCTGGTGGTCGGTCTTGGCTGGCGTGTGGCCGTCCGTCGCCGCCCGTCGCCGCCACCCTCGGCCACGATGTCGACTGTGCGTGGCTCGCACTTTGTATTGCTTTGCATTGCTCTGAGTTGTCTCGCATTGCTTTACATTTGTTTGCATCACATTGCATTGCGTTGCATTGCTTCGCAATGACTTACTTTGCTCTGCATGGATTTGGCCTGATTGCTTTGCATTGCGTTGCATTGTGTTGCTTTGATATACTTGGCATTACGTTGCATTGCGTTGTAAAGCTTTGCACCACATAGACTGCACCACCCAGGTTGAACCTCATTGATTGCACCACCTAGATTGCACCGCGTAGATTCCAAGAAATCATAGTTTGGGGTCGAAGCTGGCTCATATCTTCATCATCAGGATTATCCTCATCATCATTATCGTACTCATCATCATCATCATCATCATCATCATCAACAACATCATCATCAGTATCAGCATCAGCATCATCATCGTCACCATCATCAGCATCACATTCTTCTTCATCATCATCAACATCATCAGCATCGTCATCGTCAGCATCAGCATCATCATCAGCAGCATCAGCATCATCATCATCGTCATCAGCATCATCATCAGCGTCATCATCATCGCCCTCCTCTACCTCCGCCTCCACCAGTGCGATTAGTTAGACAACCTCATCCTCCTCTCCTCCGTCTCATCAGTCAATATCTTCCGCCCATTCCGTCCCCCTGCCTTCCCTACCCCGTCCTCCTCCCTCGCTCTCATCAAGGGAGCGGCGAGGGAACATAATCGGAGCACCTCTCATCGACATCCCCACTCATCCCTCTCCCTGCAACTTTCCTCCTCCTCGTCCGCCTCCTCCTATTCCTCCTCCACTTCCTGATCATCACCATCATGACAATAATTAGAGTCATTGCCATCATCATCAGCATAAGCATGAGTATAATCATCATCATCATCATCATCATCATCATCATCATCATCATCATCATCATCATCATCATCATCATCATCATCATCATCATCATCAGCATCGTCGTCATCATCATCATCATCATCAGCAGCAGCAGCATTATCATCATCATCATCATCATCATCATCATCATCATCATCATCATCATCATCATCATCATCATCATCATCATCATCATCATTCATCATCGTCATCATCAGCATCATCATCATCATCATCATCATCATCATCATCATCATCATCATCATCATCATCATCATCATCATCATCATCATCATCATCATCATCATCATCATCGGCATCATCATCAGCAGCATCAGCATCATCATCATCATCATCAGCAGCCGTAGAATCATCATCATCATCAGCATCATCAGCATCATAATCAGCACCACCAGCATCATCATCATCAGCATCGCCATCATCAACATCATCAGCAGCATCAGCATCAGCATCATGAGAAGCATCATCATCACCATCACCATCATCAGCATCGTCATCAGCAGCAGCATCATCGGTATCATAATCATCAGCATCACCGTCATCATCATCATCAGCATCATCGTCATCAGCATCAGCATCATGTTCACCATCAGCATAAACAGAATAACAACAATAAGAATAATGATAAGAATAATAATAATAATAATGGAAATGAAAATAGTAGTAGTAGTAGTAGTAGTAGTAGTAGTATCAGTAGTAGCAGTAGTAGTAGTAGTAGTAGTAGTGATCATCATCATCAGCAGCATCATCAGAATCATCAGCATCAACATCGTCATCATCATCATCATCAGCATCATCATCATCAGCATCACAGAAAGAGCGTGTTCTACCGCTGCTGGCGGAAAACCGGGGGGGGTCACTACCGGTTCGGAACCCCTTTCCCCCACCCCCCCACCCCCCCGGGAAAACCGGGGGGGGGGTCAACCGGTTCGAACCCCTCCCCCCCCACCCCCCCTGCTCATCATGAAAAGGGGGGGGGGGGGGGTCACTACCGGTTCGAACCCCTCCCCCCCCCCCCCCCCCCCCCCCCTCCGGATCCGGAAAACTGGGGGGGTCACTACCGGTTCGAACCCCCCCCCCCTCGAAAACCGAGTGGGGGTGCGGACAGTGGTGGGGACGGTGTTGGTGGGGACAGTGGTGAGGGGATAGCGGGACAGTGGTGGGGACAGTGGGACAGTGGGACAGTGGTGGGGACGGTAGTGGTGGGGACAGTGGTGGGGACAATGGTGGGAACAGGGGGGGACAGTGGACAGTGGTGGTGACGGTGGTGGTGGGGACAGTGGTGTGGGGACAATGGGAATGAGGTGGAAACAGTGGGACAGTGGAGGGTACAATGGTGGTGGGGACAGTGGTGAAGGCGGTGGCGAGGACGGCGGTGGGACAATGGGACAGAGGTACAGTGGGGACAGTGGTGGGGACAGTGGGGACAGTGGTGGGAACAGTGGGACAGCTCAGTGGGACAGCGGAGGAGTCAGTGGGACAGTGGGGACAGTGGGGATAGTCGGGCAGTGGTTGGGGCCGTGGAGACAGTGGGGAGAGTGGAACCGTGGTGGGAACAGTTCTGGGGACAGCGGGGACAGTGCGACAGTGGTGGGGCCACTGGTGGGGACAGTAGGGGCGGTGGTGGAACCAGTGGGGACAGCGGTGGTGAGGACAGTGGTGCTGGGAACACCAGTGGGGGATGTGATGCGGACGGTGGTGGGGACCGGGAGTCGTTTGCTGGCGGTGAGTAGGGGGGGGGGGGGGGGGGGTGGGGTTCGAACCGGTAGTGACCCCCCCGGTTTTCCGGATTCCGGGGGGGGGGCGGGGGGGAGGGTTCGAACCGGTAGTGACCCCCCCGGTTTTCGAAGGGGAGGGGGGGGGGGGGGGGGGGAGGGGTTAGGCGGGGGGGTGGTTTTGCCGGGGGAGGGGGGGGGGGGGGGGGGGAGGGGTTCCAGCAGGGGGGGGGGGATTTTCGGAGGGGGGGGGGGGGGGGCGACCCCCGGGTTCCGGAGGAAAAGGTTGGCAATTTTCCACAGTAAAGCGGCGGTGGATCACGCTCTCTCGCATCACAAGCATCATCATCAGCATCATCGGCATCACGATAAGCAACATCATCATCAGCATCTGCATCGTCACCATCAGCATCATCATCATCAGCAGCATAATCATCATCAGCATCGTCATCATCGTCAACATCAGCATCGAAATCATCATCATCATCATCGTCGTCATCATCATCATCATCATCATCATCATCATCATCATCATCATCATCATCATCATCATCATCATCATCATCATCATCATCATCATTATCGGCATCATCATCAGCAGCATCAGCATCATCATCATCATCATCATCAGCAGCCGTAGAATCATCATCATCATCATCAGCATCATCAGCATCATAATCAGCATCACCATCACCATCACCATCATCATCATCATCATCATCATCAGCATCGCCATCATCAACATCATCAGCAGCATCAGCATCAGCATCATGAGAAGCATCATCATCACCATCACCATCATCAGCATCGGCATCAGCAGCATCATCATCGGTATCATAATCATCAGCATCACCGTCATCATCATCATCAGCATCATCGTCATCAGCATCAGCATCATGTTCACCATCAGCATAAACAGAATAACGACAATAAGAATAATGATAAGAATAATAATAACAATGATAATGAAAATAGTAGTAGTAGTAGTAATAGCAGTAGTAGTAGTAGTAGTAGTAGTAGTAGTGATCATCATCGTCAGCAGCATCATCAGAATCAGCATCATCATCATCAACATCGTCATCATCATCATCATCATCATCATCATCATCATCATCATCATCAGCATCACAAGCATCATCATCAGCATCATCGGCATCACGATAACCAACCTCATCATCAGCATCTGCATCGTCACCATCAGCATCATCATCAGCAGCATAATCATCATCAGCATCGTCAGCATCGTCATCATCAGCATCGACATCATCATTATCACCATCAGCATCGACATCAGCATCATCATCACGACCATCGTCACAATCATCATCATCATCATGATCATCATCATCGTCATCAGCATCACCATCATCAATATCATCGTCATCAGCATCAGCGTCATCAATACATTCGCCATCGTCGTCATCGGCATCATCATCATCAGTATCATCAACATCACACATCATCATCATGAGCATCATCATCAGCATCATCAGATTCAGTGTCCTTATGATCATCATCATCATCATCATCAGCATCCGCATCATCACAAGCAGTAGCAGCATCATCATCAGCATCAGCATCATCAGTGGCATCAGCGGCATCAACATCATCGTCATCAGCAGCAGCATCACCATCATCATCATCATCATCATCATCATCATCATCAGCAACAGCAGCATCATCATAGCATCGTCATTATCATCATCATAATCATCATCAGCATCGGCATCACTATGAGCATCATCAGCATCAGCATCATCACTATCATCATCAGCATCGTCAGCATTATAGACATCATCATGAACATCGTCATCATCATCATCGCCGTCGTCATCACCATCGTCAGAATCAGTATCATCAGCATCATCATCGACATCGTCAGCATCACCACCATCATCATCATCATCATCGTCATCATTATCATCACCATCATCAATATCATCATCATCATCATCATCATCATCATCATCATCATCATCATCATCATCATCTCAGCATCATCATCATCATCATCATCATGATCATCATCATCATCATCATCATCATCATCATCATCATCATCATCATCATCATCCTGAGCATCATCATATTCGTTGTCGTCATCGAATTCGTCATCGGCATCATCATCATCATCATAGATGTCAGCGCTTCGCATTCGTCTCCTCTGCCCCTCCTCGTCGTCGCCTCTCTCATCTTCGAGCCGTCGCTGCAGCAGACAGTGCTCAAACAGTAACGGCTCGTGCGGAAGACTACGTCGAACACAAGACGGGCGAGCGAGCCGCACTCGACATCAGCATCGCGTGCTTGGCACAACCTTCTCTTCCTTCCCCCCATCATCACATCCTTACCTGCCGATCCTGACCCCATTGCTCTCCCTCTGTCCTCCTGCTCATCGTCACCATCTCACCCTCATCAGCGTACACGTCGTCACCATCACCATCGCCATCACCAGGACACACACACACACACCGTCATCACCACCATCAGAATCAGCATCACAACTGTCGCCAGTATCATCAGGGACGGGCGAGGCGAAAGCGGCAGCCTGCTCCAGGTGCACGTGGGCCGCAATCTCGAAGGCGCCAGCGCCAGGAACGACGGCCTGCGTCGTGGGTCGGGGACGGGGAGGAGGGGAAAGGGGGAACGGAGGAGGAGGGAGGAAGGGGGAGGATGGCAGGAGGGAAAATTGCAGGAGAAGGGAGAAAGGAAGGGGAAAAAAGGAGGAGGAGGAGGAGAAAGACCACGAGGATGAGAAAAGAAGGGTGCGGAGGAATGAGGGAGGGGGAGAGAGAAGATGAGGAAGGACGAGGGAGAAGGGAAAGGTGAGGAGGAGGGAGGAAGAAGGACGGAGAAGGAAAGAGAGATGAGAGAAGCAAGAGTAGGGAGGAGAGACTTATGCTTATTCATCTTCTTAGTCTTATTCGTATTCGTTTTTTTTCTGCTTCTTAATCAGATTAGCATTAATAATGTTATTAGTATGCGTATGTGCTTTCTTCTTCCTCCTCCTCCTCCTCCTCCTTCTCAGCCTCCGCCTCCTCCTCCTCCTCCTCCTGCTCCTCCTCCACCTCCTCCGCCTCCTCCGCCTCCTCCGCCTCCTCCTCCTCCTCCTCCTCCTCCTCCTCCTCTTCCTCCTCCTCCTCCTCGTCCTCCTCGTCCTCCTCGTCCTCCTCGTCCTCCTCCTCCTCGTCCTCCTCCTCCTCCTCGTCCTCTCGTCCTGCTCTTCCTCCTCCTCCTCCTCCTCCTCCTCCTCCTACTCACCCCCATCCCAACGGCACACCACTCCAACCAAGATATCAGAGTTGCAAGCTAGACTCGGTGGTGGGTGGCAAGCTCGGACGACCAGCAACATACCTGTCTCCCTCCTCCCCACAATCCTTCCAGCATGCAGCAGGAGGAGAGAAGGGAGGAGGGACAAGGGAGGAAGGGAAGGTGGAGGGATGGGAAGAAAGAGCAAGCGTGGAGGGAGGTGAGAAAGAGGAGCTGGAGGGGGTGCGAGCGGGGGGGGCTGGCTTGACCTCATGCTGCGATGCGATGCGGTGCGAGCATGGGGGAGAAAGAAGTGCCGCAGATGGTGCAAGCATTGATGATGAGGTCCGCACGAATAGTCCCAGCCTTAAGGAGGGATCGAGGCAACCGGAACGCCCCAGGACTGGAAATGCACTTAGACCGAGGCTCGCATTCCCGCCTGCCCCTCCCCCAGAACTCTCTGGAGATCTCCGCAGATCCCTGGGAAGCCCCTGGAAGTCCCCGAAAAGTCCCTAGACGCTCAAGGAGGGTCCCAAAGGCCTCCGGAAGCCCCGCCCCGCCCCCAAAAATTAGTCTGGCACAGGACCCAACCATATGCAAATGCGAGTAACGGAGGATTACCTTCTCATCATAGGCAACGCGCCGTGAGAGGGATGGAGCACGGGGCAACGCGGATGGCAACCCCGAAACATGTGCGGGGTGTGCCAAAGTGGGCTGGGGGACGCATGCGGCATGCGGGTGCTGCCACTGGGGCCTTCGGCGGAGCTCCCGATGGGCCACAAAACATGTGAGTGGTGTGTCAAGATAGGCAGAGGAAGGCATGCGAACCCTGGAGCTCTACGTATATGGGGCTCGAGGCGTGTGAGGGGTGTGCCGAAATGGAGCAGACGCCGCCATGCAAGCCCTGCCGCTGAGGCCTGCAGTGGAGCTCCACATGGGGCCACGAAGCGTGTGCGGGGTGTGCCGACATGGGGCGGGGCCGCCATGCGAACCCTGCCACTGTGGCCTTCGGTGGAGCTCCCTATGGGCCCACGAAACGTGTGAGGAGGGTGCCGAAGTGTGGCGAGGCCGTCATGCAAACCATGCCACTGCGGCCTTCGGTGGAGCCCCCTATTATGGGGCCACGAAACGTGTGAGGGGTGTGCCGAAACAGAAACATGCGGAGGGCAGAGGCACAGAGTCGGAGGAGGGAGGAGGGGGAGGAGGAGAGGAGGAAGGAACGCGGGGCGGTCTCCCTTCAAAACGAGGACCCAACACCATAGGATGGTTGGGAAAAACATCGGGCCAATGTCCCCGATACCCCCCGTACCAGGAGAAACGTCGTAGAGCACAACGCTGAGAGCTGGCCTCGTCCTCCAGGGTGTTCGACACCGCGCGGTTCCCGTCCCGGATGGCGTCCTTCGGGGGCCCAGGGCAGCGCGTCGCTTGCGCTAGCACGGGGGCACGATAGGGCGAAGGGCTGTGGGGAAGCGTGTCGAAATGGCGAGGGAGGCTAAGACTCGTCGAAAGGTGGGACGAGGCGGGGGGGAGGGGGAGGAGGGGGGAGAAGGGGGAGGGGCAGAACGAAGGAGGGGGAAGGAGGAGGGGGAGGAAGGAAAAATCGGGGGGGAGACAAGAGGCGGGGGAGGGAGGAGGAGGAGGAGGAGGAGAAGGGGGAAGAGCAAGAGGAGGACGAGGAGGACACGGAGGACGAGGAGGACGAGGAGGACAAGGAAGAGGAAGACGAGGAGGACGAGGAGGACGAGGAGGACGAGAAGGAGGAGGAGGAAGAAGAAGAAGAGGAGAGAGCAGAGAAGAGGGCCAGGAAGAGGAGGAAAAGGAGGATGAGGAAAGGGAGGAGAGAGGAGCAGGAGGAGCAGATAAGGAGGTAGAGGAGGATAATGGAGAGGAGGATGAGCTCGGCACCGGCTATGACGGTACCACCTCATTCATCATGCAACAACTAAACTCCAAACGAGTGAAGGGTCAGGGTCTTCGGGGGGCGGCACACCTTGCCGTCGGCGTTCACGCGCTCGACCACCGAGAAACTCAACTTCGTCACGAGAGCTGAACCCAAACAGTGCAAAGCCACGCTGAAGGTCGACCCCAGTGCCCGCCCAGACCCTCCCACCCCCTCCCGACGAGGAAGCCAGGGAACTCCTGGCTCGTGGCGGCACAAGAAAGGGAAGGTCGTCCAGACGCATCCCCATCCCCACCCAAGTACACCCGACCAGTCCCGCCGCCCACAGGAGGACGGGGGGGAGGAGGAGGGGAAATCAACTCCCCAGGAAGAGGGGGGACGTCAAAAGATAAGTGCCTCAGCCAATCGATACCGAGATGATCGAACTGCTGACTGCCCCCGATACGAGCTTTTTGCGCGGCCGAAAACTTGCACAACAACCGAACCAACTCGAAGCACCCAGAGACGACTGCACGATCGGCATCGGGAATCCCTCCCAGAGAAGCACCTCGACTCGCATATTCATCGGCAGCCTCGTTGCCTAGAAACTCCAGACGACCGAGCTTCCCAGTCTCAACATCACGAAGAGCGCAGCGGGCGGGCACTTTGCGCCACCGCACGCCGTCAAGTCAACCAAAAAACACGCCGCCAAAAATGACCGCGGCCACGGGGTCCGAAACGCACCGAGAGGTCCCTAGAACAGTCCCCATACGACGTGGCCCCAGGGAAACCCGCGGCATGACGCACGAGAGAAACCACCGCGTAGTCCTCACCGTCACGGGCCTCCTGCGCAGGAGCATCACTAATAGGCGCGCGCCCCCAGATCGCGCGAACCACGGCTCCCCGCCCATCCGCGACCGCCACCGCCCACCCTTCCGAACGAATCCTAGGAAGAGCTGGCTCATAGCACGAGCCGTCACACAAGATGCGCGCGCGCGCCCCCCCCCGCAGCACCAGTCCCTCGGAAGGCCGCCTGCGCCGATCCACCGCGGCGCCCGGGGGCCGGGAGGGGCGGGCGAACCAACGGGCGGGGTCAGAGGGGGCACGCCTGCACGGCGGCGCCCAGGCCCTGGACGAGAGGAGACGAATTCGATCCACCGCCCAACGCAGGTCGGATCACATCACATCTCGACGCCAAACATCGCGTGCTGAGCCATCGAAACGACGACACAACATCGCGCCAGAGGGCGCCTGGCAGAGCAGGCAAGCTGGCGAGACGCCCAGACGCGCATCGTGAAATCGCCGACGGCGCCAATACCTGTGAGAAATCAAACTGCGTAGGCAGCGACGGCAATGATCATTCCAAGCGGCGCCCTGCTCAGAGATCAGGGCAAGGGCGGGCTTGAGACGCGCGGGGCCGCGCCACTCGGCACCAAAGTCAGACTGCCCAACCTGGCTTTCAGAAACAATAGCTCCCCCGCACGCTTCGCGCACGCGAAGGGCAGAAGGGGGCGGGGGGCAACGCGGACAGACGTCAGGAGCGCCCAATCTGGCCAAGCAAAACCCCGCTGGGACATCCAACGCCCGGCCAATCCGCTCAGGCGTTAGCACCAGAGCGGCAACAGGCTGCTTCGCGGACCCCCAGGGCCTTGGTTTGCTAGAAGACAGGACAGCAAATTCAAAGGTCGACAGGAGCACATGCTACGTGACACTGCGGCGCCACCAAACTGGCACAAACGATTCGACGGCATCAACCGTCGTCGACACAAGAGGGTCACGCGGGGGGGCCCGCAGAGGAGGAAGGCGAAGCCGAGGGGGAAGCCAGGCCGGGAGGGGGCCAAAGGACCCGGCAGAAGAAACCCTCAGAGACCTCAAGGCGGAAGCCCCTAGACCGTTAATGTGCGCCCCACGCGTGGCCTTAGCGACTGGGCCCGCCCCGCGCACCCGAGACGCCCCCCCCCCCCCCCATCTTCGACGGCCGAGTCGCCGCGGCCAACGCTGCCTGGACGCGCATTTTTTGCACGGGCACACAGCGGGCACTGCCATCAGAAGCATCGCCACCCAGGTCGCGGTAGGTGCCGGCAAGAAGGAACTCATCGATGAGTCTGTCAGGGCCCTCCAGCAGGGCCTCAAGAGCTCGGGGCAGGAGCAGAGGAAGCAGGTCTTCGCCAGGTTGAGCGGGAGATCCATCTCCTCCATCTGAGCCGACATGATAATAGCTGCCTCGGCCCATTGCCGAGCCACGGCGAGTAAAGATTCCACTGCATGCACCTCAAGGTCGGCCACCAGGTTCAGCGGCCGGCAAACAGGCGTCTCAACTGCAATGGTACGCAGCAGAGAGAGTCATGAACTGGACCGTGCATGTCGCGCAACTGCAGCCAGCAATCACGGCGCCGTCGGGCATCACCACGCGCGACGTCGCGCCGGGTCAGCGCGCCCTCCTCGGCCCACGGTAGACAGCACACAGAAACCGCAGCAACTGCTCGTTGAAACCGAAGTGTTTGCCAGCCGAGCGCATCGCACAATGAGATATGTCCTCATGAAACTTCAGCAGATCGAAGCACAGCGCGCCGCCGGCGAAACCGCGGCGCTTCGCATGCACCACAGACAGGCAATGGATGCACGCCGCTCGGTCGGCCGCCGCGTCAGCAGTCTCGCCCCAGAAGAAGCTGGCGTCCACGCTGAACTCCCACGCGCGAACCTGCCGCTGTCGGATCCTGGACCATCAGGAGGAGGCTCGGGAACAGAGACAAACATGGTCGCCCAAAGCTCTGGGACGACAGCTGACTGCCCGAACTCCTTCACAATGGCCGCGAAACGAGAGACCCAAGTGTCCGAAAGCTCGCCAGTCAACCGAGGGTGAAAGTTACCCCGAGCCAAGTCTTTCCGCATGCCGAAAAAGAGGATGACCGAACGAATTTGTTGCACACTGATAAGCTCAAGAGTCGCCTTCACATGCCGTGCATGGGCGGGCAGCTCATCCACCCTCGACCCATTGACCAGAAGCTGCAGCCACTCCTGAAGAACGCCCCCGACAGCCAGCGAGCCCACCTGCAGCAATTGATCGACAACAAAGTAAGGCCACAGACAACGGTTCAACAGCTTGGGCCTGATCAGCTCGCGCGCGATCGTGACCCCGTGCCCGAATGAGCAGACTTGCAGAAGTCACGCCGCAACTTAGCCTTCGCCGCTGCGTCGCTCCGCCCCCGCATGGCCAGTTCGCCCTCGGGGAGGTCCTCGAACCAGGCCAAAAGAGGACTGCCCCTCTCAGCAAGCCCAAGCCACCTGTCGATAGCCACAGCACGAAGGGCCGCAGCAGAGACAGCCGCAGGAACGACTAGTAAGCGAGCCTGCACGCATAGGCGATCACGCACCACATGCCTCTTGCCACGAGATCCGCGGCTGGCCTGCCCCCATCGAAGCGAAGCCCCCCGACGAAGAAAACTCCCCAAAACTTCTGTACTTGCGGAATCGCGCCGGCGCTGCCTCCACCAATGAACTCCCAGAAGATGCCTTTCCACCACGCGAAAGCCTTTGCCACGTCCACGACGATGAAAGGCAGACGCCGCCTCAATCTGCTGGGACCGAACATGGGATAAAGCGAAATCGAACCACCTGGCGCAGGCCGTCAGAACGCAATCCATCGGCTCGCTCGCCTCCGCCAGTTCCGGCTGCGCCTCCGACGCGGGCTCGGCCAAAGCCCGCGGTTCACCGGCATTCTTAGCGACAGAGAAGGGCCGACGAGATTTCTCAATCCAGACTGTCGGGCGCCCCCAGACGTCGCCCAAAGCGCAGCTGACCCGGTCGCGGGAGCCAGCCGAGGCGCCAGCAAACGCGCGCGGAGAAGCAACGCGGTGAGCCAGCGAGCGAGACGCGACGCAGGAATCGCACTCTTTCCCCCGCGCGCAGGAACGTCAGGATTTACAATGATGCCCGCCACCTCCCGGCACCAATCGCTGGCAGCAAGACCTCCAGCGTCCGCGCCCCAATCAGCTGCAATAGTGAGAAGCACCGCGAACTGCCCCACGACGGTAGCAACATCAGAGGGCAAAGCCACATTGCCACCCATCAAGCCTATAGAGGTGATCACGTAAAGAGACGCCACCAGCAACACTGATCCATCACCAAGATGCATCTCCCCGGCGACAACGCCGCGACTCCACTCGGAAGAAGTCGACGCGCAACTCAAGACGCCAACGCGCGCGTCGATACACAACCCACCACCACCGCTGACAGAAAGGGGCACGAGGGCAAAGGGCGAGGTGGCAACCCTGGCCCGAGCACCACTGTCGAGCACCTCGTGCTGACTCGGAATCGGCGAACCTCGCCTCCTGGATGAAGGCCGCGTCGACGCGGCGGCCAGCGGCTGAGTTCCACGCCAGCACCGGACGAGGTGCAGCGGAGCCGCGCCGCAGCCCTGAGGCGCGGAAAGAATTTGACCCAACTTGAGCACCACGAGCGCCGCGACGAGCTCCCTAGAGACAGAGCAAGGCGCCCTGCTCGACAACTCGCCAGACGAAGCAACCACTGCCCGCCAAACTGGAACAATATGAATTGCAAACGTAGCCGAAGATCTAGGGGGGCACGCAAAAAATCCAGGCTGGCGCCGAAGCCGAAGACGATGGGGGAGCCGAAGTCGACGAGGTGGGCAGCGACAATGATGGCCACATCGGGGCTGAAATCCCGCGAGCGCGAGGGGCAGCCCCCCTGCGCCGCCTCGAGCAGCGCGCGGGACATCGCCACCAGGTAGTCGAGCTCGCCCCAGCGATGGGTGACAGATTCGTTCCACACATCCTGGGCAAGAGACGTAAAGATCTGACGAAACGATGCAGACGTCGAGCACCTCGGCGCCAACCAGCCCGACATGCCTCAGCGACCGCGTCAGCTAGGACGCCCCCCACCCGAGGCGCCCAGCGACGCGAGACATCTTCAGGCATCACACGTTGGCCCCGCAAGTTCAGCACAGTAGAAAGCCATTCCTCGCACCCGTCCTGCCAGGACTCAGCATATTCCTGGCGCTTACGATTCACGTTCCAAACCCAACGCGAAGACCACGATCCGAGAGCCTCCTGCATGTTCAGCACAGAGCGATCAGCGCCACGCTGGGGAGGTGCAGGAACCTCAGAAGGAGGGAGCCCCATGTCCAACGGAGTCGGCAACGCCGACAGCTGACAAGTCCAAGCGCTGCCAGCCGCACATCGCGACGAAATAGAAGGTCAGCATGGCCGCGACGATGAACGCAATGCCCTCAGCACGGTGCAAGCCCCGACGGGGCTGGACCTCCACTCCGCCTGCCGCAGGCGAGCCGCAACTGGCTGTGGAACACTCGAAACTCATCGTCATCATGCGGTGGGTCGACACCTCCTGCTGCGATCTCGGCGCGTCTGCGCCAGGTCAGGCTCAAGGCCCGCTGGGGCAGGGGCCGCAGCAAGCGCCGCAGCGGCTGGCGACGATGGCGCCGCAGGCGCGGCCGCCGCCCCCGCAAGCGCCCGGCCCACAGGCGCCTCGAGTCGCACCAGGGCCTGGTGCGAGCAATGCGGAACCTTCTCGCGCAGCTGGACCACGAAGCCAGAAAGGTCGGGCACGTGGACGCCGAGCTCGTCGAGGCCCTGCCCCAGGATCCGTCAAGCCTTGTCGGTGTCGAGCTGCCAAATGGGAGCCGACGACGCCCCCCCGACCTGCAGCGGCTGAGACAACGCCACGCCCTGGGCGGCCAAGGTCGCCTGCTAGGACTGGAGCCGCGCCAGCACCTGCCCCCGCTCCGAAACACGGGCGTCGGTCGCGGAAAGCGCCTGCTCAGCGTCCACCACGCGCTTGCGGCAACCTTCCTGCTTTTCATTGGCCTTGAGCAGCTGCTTCTCGGCCTCGTCAATATTGTGCAGGATGGTGCGCAGGCGCGCCGCCACGGGCTCAGTGTCGGGCAGGCGCTGCTCGATCTCCTGGCGCTCGATACGGAGGTCAGTCTTGCCCTTCGCCTAGATGGCGCCACCCAGGGACGCGATGGTGCGGAGTTCCAACTCGATAGTGGACAAACAGTCTCGATCCGACGGGGCCCCACACTCACCATCGACGTCCCAACAAGCCGCGGCGCTGTCAGAAGGGGACTGCGGCTGCCGCGCCTTCTTGAGCTCGCCCTCCAGACGCTTGATCTGCGCCTGGCACTTGGCAAGCTGGCCGTCGCTGCTGGAGGGAGGGCCCTTGTCCCACGCCGAATGCGAGACCCAGGGCGGCTTCTTGGACGGCACCGCGGGCGTGACGTGTCCACCGACACAGTCCGACTTTGCCAGGCCGCAAGAGAAGCACTTCTTATTCTCCGCAAAGTTGAGAAAGGCCTTGCCCGATTTGGCATGGATGAAGGATCTGCAGTGCCACTTCTGGGGCGAGTCCTTCCCCAATGAGCAGCACAGGAAGATACTGGAGCTCGCCAAGCCGCGCGGTCACACGAGGACCCCAAGTGGGGTTGCTGAACCCTCGAGCGCCGTGGGACCCCCAAATGAGATGAGAGACTGCCGCGGGCCAGCGGTATCCGTTCAAGCACGGAGGCGCGGAGCCCCTAAAGTGCAAGCATCTTGAGCCAAAATGGCTACGGAGAAGGAACGGAGGATGAGAATGAGGAGGAGGAGGAAGAAGAGGAGATCGGCGCAGGCCGCAGCGCGCGACTGACAGAAGCCGAGGCCCAAGTAGCGTGGGAGCGCGCGCTGGGGGCGCCGCGGGTACAGCGACCAGGGGCTGGTGACGCTTCGGCGGGGCGCCTCCCCAGACGCGGCGTTCCACCCCGCACGGCAACACATGCGGAGGGGCTGTCGGCGAGGCGATGCGAGCCAGGCAACACGCCGCCCTGCGAGGTGGGTGGAGGTTTGGGGCGAGGCGCCCAGGGACCCCGGTGGCCCGGAGCAGCCACACGCTGGTGGTCCCCTGCTTGGCTCGGCTCGCCGCTGCACGCGGCAGCGCGTGAGGCGAGGATGCGCGCGCGCGCCTCAGAGGGGACGGTGCAATCACCCTCCGCACGCACGGCCGCAGCCGCGCGTCTGGCCAACTCAGCGGCCGACCGCCGCCGCCAGCCCAGCTCCAGCAGATCGGCCCTGGGCGGCGAGGAGCTGCTGCGTAGAGGGTGACCTGAAGGTCGGCCTGCCTCTGCATCCTTCCGCGGAGGGAGGAGTGCGCGTAGGCGGGGGCGACACGGGCGGGCGGCCGCAGCCTGGGCGGCCTCGTCGTCGCAGTGGCGTGGCAAGTGCTGCTGGCGGCGCGCGAGAGGTCCTGGACTCTGGGGGCAGCAGCATAGCTGGCGTCGAAGCTTGGTGCGTCGACAGCCGCGGCCATAAGGCCCGTAGCTGCCGAAGTGAGGGCTCGGAAGCCGAATGGGTCGGGTTCGCGGATGACCCAAGGCACGGCACGCACCGCGTGGCCCGGCTACTTGGGCCCGCGCCGGAGCGTTTCGGGTGGCGCGGTCCAGTGGGCTGTAGCCGATGAGAGCCACGCGTTGTGCTCGCGAGGGGTGGCGGTCGGGGTGGAGCCACGTGCCAATGAGGAAGCGTTTGTAACGGGCGGGCCGGAGGGCTCGGGTGCAGAAATTTCAGCGCTGTGCAGGGCGTCCAGTGGTCCGTGGTGACAAGTCCGATGCGTGCCCTGTACGCGTGGATCTGACCAGAGAAGAGAAGAGACGAGAAGAGCAAACGGAGGAGAAAAGAGGAAAGAAGTGGAGAGGAGAGGAGAAGGAGAGGAGAAGGAGAGGACAGGGGAGGGGGAGAGGGACAACAAGGAGAGAGGAGGAAGGGAGAGAGGACAAGGGTCGGAGCGCGAGAAATGGAGCGAGAGAGAGAGAGAGGGAGAATGGAAAGAAAGACAAAGGCAGGGCGGGATGAGGGATGAGCGCCACTGAGAGTGCGTCCGAGTCGAACACGCCTCACGAGAAGTAGGAAAACCCCTAGGAGCAGCAGAGCTGCTGAAAGTTATGAACCTGGCCGCGCGGCGGGTGCCAGGGAAAACTCACGCCTTTGAACGCAACCAGGAAAAAGCAAAACAAGTTAGGCTGTGGACTCCGAGCGCCGAAGGCGCACAGGATGTCCATGGAAGATTCTATCGATCAACCTGAGCTGGCCAGCACGGGCGCTCGGATTCTCTGAGCCCCCGACAAGGACCGCGGAGTTTCCCATTGCTCCGAGCACTCAATGCAATCGTCGTGCCAGCACACTTACGAATGCAAAACACGGACTGGACACAGAATATGACCTGCCCCAGCGAGGCCTCCAGGCGCGGGCCCGCGGCCCTAGCCCTAAACTTAAAACGGGCGTCCCCCCACAGGTGGATTTTGGGCGAAAATTAGAAATACTAGAAAAAATACACCCCAAACGGGCAAAAATGGTCAAAAAATCGTCCCCCGACTATTTTTCGACGATTTTTGCGTATTCCTCCTGTAGAGGGACAGGCCCGACTCAACCCTAAACACCTTCGAACCACGAAAGAACTCTGAAACTGCAGCACGCTGGACGGCGGAAGGCCCACATCTGACTACCTACCAGACCACCCCAACCCAACCCGAAGACCCGAATTTGAGACGAATTTCGGGTTGGGGGGGGGACGGATTCCATGTGTTTTTTCAGTATTCCCCGACCCCCCCCCCAGTGGAAATCGAGGATAAATTTGGGCCTTCGGGTTGGGTTGGGGTGGTTTGGTGGGTGGTGAACATCTCCGACCCGAACCTGTGCTGACCCACGCCGGCGTCGAACCCCCCGCGCGCCGACCTCCCACGCACCGAGACGCCTGCTAAACGGAGTACCGTTCAACCGATCCCCAGCCCCAGCGGCGAGGCCTGGGCCCCACTGGTCGACTTACGGCAGGTTCGTGCCGTGCCGACCCCAGCGTTGGTTTTTTGACACCGCAGGGATCGTTCAACCTTGAACGATCGGCCGCTGCCGCAACGTCCGATCGTTCAACATCGATCGATTCTGGGTCGCCGGCGGCGTTCAACCTTGAACGCCCGCGCTGGGGTCGCCGCTGGTCGACACGACACTAACCTACCGTACCCCCCTGGATGGGGACATCGGCCGTCTCCTTCGGGTTCCGAAGGGTGCACCCCCAACTGGGGCGGTAATTTGGTGGGGGTCTCAATGGGGATGGGGATGGGGATGGGGGTCGGATAAACGGTACTGAAACCAGAGAACGTCCTCAGATGCCCGACCGGTAACGACTGGCCGACGACGGCCCTCGGGAGGAACAGGCACAGGGGGAGGGGCCCACGACCCCAAGCCCCATGCACGATTACCTTCAGGCAGGCCCAGGACGCGAACTGGGATAACCTCATGTTCAAGGCCTGGAAGGACGACTCGCTCGCCGCGTTCGCGATGAGATGGTGGGCCACTCCAGCATTCGCGAAGCAATCTGCCCAGGCATTGCCGAGCCAACACTCAACCTCTTGTGGATCGTCAAGCACGCTCTCGATGTCCCTGCGCGCCGGTGCCCAGACGAACTGCACAGCGTTCTCTGCGCGGCGCTGAAGCGCAGCGCGGAAAACGTCTCGCCAGGCACCGGCACGTTTGCGTCGACCGCGCTGGAGAGACTCTGACCACGAGCATCCCTCGGACGCAAGCCCCAGGAGATCCGAAACGAACACTGAATGGTATGGATGCACTTCCCAACCCATGTTGATAGCATACCTCTCCGCACGGCGGCCTAAGCGGCGAGCACACTTGATACTAGCCAGCGCATTCCTCAAGCTTCGGTGCCAGACCTGGTCGGAGGCTTCGGCGGCGCAAAAATGTCCGAGCAACCTCTCGCCCCGACAACGCTGGACCCGCTTCGACGGTCAGCAGGGCACATCACACGGATATCAAAAGCATTGCCTAAGTCATCAGCCACCATATTACTAGCCACAATGTTCACACGATCCTGCGCAGCGATAGCCAGCAGGCCCCTAAGGGGACACGAAAAAACGCCCAAGACCTATCCCCAGGCTTGTCCCTGAGCGTCTCCCACGACCGCCCGGCCCAGACCCATTCCGCAAACTTGAAAACTATGGCTAACGTAACAGGAGATATAGGATCGCAAAACTCGCTTAAGTGACTGACCAGGTCGGCTGCGGCACATATGCTCGACCTGCCTGGCGCGCAGTTCAAAAGGCTGCGCAAAGACCATCTCTCGAAGCGAAACATCACTGACTCCAGCAACTGCAGCACCATGCGCCACAGATGGAAGGGCGCCCGCGCGCCACAATGCCGCCGAAACTCTGCCAACTGCCGCCTTAAGCATCGAGGAGCGAACTTTGCGCCCCCGAGGGCGCTTCATGCGCTGCTTCTCCGTGCCTCTGATAACTCTGGGCCCCATGAGCTCGTGTAGGTTCCTCATGTGGCCCTCATGCGGGATCCTCAGGAAGCCCACGTGGTACAGCACCCCCTTTCAACAGCAGCTTTCGAGGCCCAGCCACCGTCCCAGACTTCGCCGCCCTCAGAACATGCCGAGCCCCTTGGAGTCCTGGATGAAGCCCCGAGCCGCTAGTGCTGAGTACTTCGTGTCCGGAAGATCCTGAACGATACGTTGGAAGCCTATATCGTCCATGAGCGTTCTAGGGGTAACCGTCGGAGGCACATTAGAGACCCTTCTTAACAGCCCTATGCGTAAGCAAGTACAGGGGGTACGTGGCGTGCGTGCATCCAACCAGAATGCCTTGGAATTTTCTGAACCCCGCAGAGAGAAGACTCCAGACGCCTGGATACGACGGGGCTATTGGTAACTTTGAATGAGGAGCCACAGGAGACGGAGAAGAAATCCGAACACCTGGCCTTCGCGAAGCAGCGCATGGGGGCCCACGTGTGTTCCCCCAGCAGTTGCGCCCCTTCCTGCTAAATATTACGATCGAAGGCTGAGTCGTGTGACGTGTGGCAAGCTCTTGTGCCCCACATATGGTCGCACTTGTCGCCGGCTTGCCAAGCTGCCGAAACTGGTATCCTGAGCTTACCACACAACCTGATCATCGTATGAGACCATATGATAACACGCGTATCACCATCAGGCTTCGGAAGACGAACGAGCTCGCTATAAATACGCTCAGAAGGCCGGGACAGCCACTTCTCAAAAAATAAACACCCTGGCAAGAAGGTCAAGCGCCTGGTCTGAAGGAGAATCCAGGCACCTAGGTGACATGCGACTCGGTCCCGATGCTGCGCGCGTCAAGAAAGTTCGAATCACTGCCCTGATGTGGCGATCTTCCTGCACAGACAGAGCGGCCCAATCCTCAAGGCCTGGTGGAAGCACGGGCGGTTGCAGATCATGATGTCGCCAAACAGCCTCCCTCTTGTCGAGGGTGTGATTGACAAGCAGATACGACTGAGCATACACGTCGAAGTTGAGCTGATCCTGTTCACCCCGCACCTTGGACGTGGAGCGAGCCTGACTAGCTCACCCTAGGGAAGCCTGCTTGGCCAACGACCTCCACGCATTCTCGGAGGCTGAACTGGAAGCTTTCAGCACAACATCCACCTTGGCCATAGTAATGTCCAGCGCAAAATCGAAATCCCCGTCCGCCATCACAGGACTGAACCTAAACGGTGTTTTCGTTTTCGTTTTGTTATCGTTTGCCCTTGTTTTGTCTTCAGTCCACCTTTACCGCAAAACGAAGTCGAAACGGAAACGGCCCACGAAATCGCCAAAACTCCGTTTAGGTCCAGCCCTGCGCCATCATGCCGAGGCTACGCCCGATGAATTCCATGCACTCCTAGTCCAGGTATTGACAGCTCTTTTTGTCGCTGACAGTCTTACGGCGGTACCTGTCCACCTTGGTGAACTGCAGCGGAGTCAACTCGCAGACCACAGAGGCCAAGCGCAGACGCTGACAAAATCTGGCCAGACGATCACGCTCCGACCGAAGATGCTGACACCACCTGCGCACAATGGCCCAGGCATAAGCTGACGCTTCGCGGTACGTCCTCCTCCGCCGGGGGCTCCCGAACAACCAACTTCCACTTGAAAGCAGGAGCCCCCACACCTACCAACTAATGGAATTGCAGTTTTGTCCGACCTTGTCGCATTGGCCCGCTAGCTCGAAGTCTAGGGGGAGGGAGGGAGGCAGAGAGAGAGAGAGAAAACAAAAAAAAAAAAAAAAAAAAAAATGAGGAGAAGAGGGGGTGAAGAAGACAAGCAAGAGAAGAGAAATGAGAAAGACGAGGATGAGAGAGGATGAGGAGGCAGAAGGGGGACAGCGATAAGGCAAAATAGATGAGAGAGGAGCGGGAATCGGCTAGGATGTAGGGAGAGGAAGAGGAAGAGGAGGAGGCGGCTAAGGATTGGAGGACATGGCACGAAAACAACGACGGCAGCGCGCTGGTGGCCGTTTTTTCGGCCGTGGCCACACGCCACTGACACCTGAGAACTGCAAGGGACCAGCGCGCCAGGATTGCAAGAAGGATGGGTGAGGAGGTTGGGCCAGCGAGGAAAAAACAGGAGGAAGAAGAAGAAGAAGAAGAAAAATAAGAGGAAGAAGAAGAAGAAGAAGAAGAAGAGGATGGGGAGGGAGGAGGGGGATGGGGAGGAGGATGGGGAGGAAGGAAGACCACTGAAAATCTGAGACGCATCGACGACATTGCAATAAACCTTCCCTCCGAGTTCCCTTTTTTTCATAGGCCCCATACACGGATTCATTTTCATTAAAAGAAAAGCCATTCGGAAAACAATCGTTTGAAAATCATGAACTGTGCCAGGGCACAAGTTGCCATTCCTGGAAATTCAATTCCGCGAATCACCGTTACTGTTGGAGTTTGACAATCCTGAACCGCGCCAGAACACCACTGCTGAGACATCGACACCACGAACCAACGTAACTGTTGCGCTCTGACAATCCGACACTGTCTCAAGACACCATGTCCGGAACGTGATCCATGAGAAAACTTCAAACTGCTGCAATATCTTAACACGAGTGTGCGCGGCGCTCTGGTGAGAGCCATCCTTATTTTTGCAAAGACCACCCTCCTACATGAAGTTCATCCACCTGTTTAATACGAGTGCGCACGGCACTCAACAGAAAGCCACATGATCCCCCCCCCTTCCATACAAAAAACTAGCAAACAACAACAACAAACAACAACAACAACAACAAACAAAGCAAGGGCGGCCAGCGCCGACCCGTGGGCACCCCCCCCCTCGGCAACAACCACAACAACGACCCCCCCCCCACACAACACCACAACAACGCCATTGAATTCCATTTGTGTGAACATCTGCGGACCTCCTCTCTGGCACCAACGAATCCCTGCCGGCAACAAGCACGTGTGCACCGGCGAAGCGAGGAATTCCGAGGAATCCTTAGGAATTCCTGAGAACCATTTGGAATTCCTGGGAATCTTTCGGAATTATTAGCAATCCTTAGGAATTCCTAGGAATCCGTCGGAAGTCCTAGCAGTCCTTAGGAATTCCTAGGAATCCTTCGGAATCCTTAAGAATCCTTAGGCATTCCTAGGAATCCTTACGAACTCCTATGGATCCTTAGGCATTCCTAGGAATCCTGACGAATTCCTAGGAATCCTTAGACATCGCTAGGGATCCTTAAGACTTCCTAGGAATCCTTCGGCATTCCTAGGAATCGTTTCGAATTCCTATGAATCCTTTGGTATTCCTGGGAATCCTTTCGACTTCCTAGGGATCCTTGGGCATTCCTAGGAATCCTTTCGAATTCCTAGGAACCCTTAGGCATTCTTCAGAATCCTTTCGAATTCCTAGAAATCCTCACGAACTCCTAAGAATCCTCAGGAACTCCTGGGAACCCTGAGGAATTCCTAGGAATCCTTCCGATTCACTAAGGTTCCTTACGAACTCCTAAGAATCCTCAGGAACTCCTAGGAATCCTTAAGACTTCCTAAGAATCCTTAGGCATTCCTGGGAACCCTTAGGCATTCCTAGGAATCGTTAAGATTCCTTAGGAATTCCTAACAAACCTTAGGAATTAATAGGAATCCTTAGGATTTCTCCGGAATCCTTAGGCATTCCTAAGAATCCTTTTAGGAATTCCTAGGAATCCTTAGGATTTCTCCGGAATCCTTAGGAATTTCTGGGAATCCTTAGGATTTCTCCGGAATCCTTAGGAATCCGTCAAGGATTCTTAGGAATCTCCGGATTCCTAAGAATCCTTGGGAATTCTCGGGAATCCGTCGGAATTCTTAGGCATCCTAAGGAATTCCTAGGAATCTCCAGGAATGTCTGAGGAATCCGTTCGAATTTCCTAAGGATCCTTCGGAATCCCTTGGAATCCATAGGCATCCTGAAGATTCCTAGGGATCCTAAGGAATTCCTAAGAATCCTCGAGATTCTGATGGATTCGTACGATTCCTAAGGATTCCTAGAAAAAACTTCGAAATCCTAAAGATTCCTAAGGATTCCTGGGAATCCTAGGGATTCCTGGGAATCGTAAGGATTCCCAGGAATCCTCGAGATTCCTAAGCACCCAAGAGATTCCTAAGTATCTCTGTCTGGCGCCAACGAACGCAATCCTCGAGCCCACCGCTGCGGTGAACGGGGCGGCCATACGGCCACCAGCCAAACAACCAACCAACCGAGCCGCCGAAGGTGAACGGCCGCGCCCTCCTCGTCGTCGTCCTCCTCCTCCTTCTCCTCATGTTCCTCCTCCTCCTCCTCCTCCTCCTCCTCCTCCTCCTGTTTTTCCTCATCATGCCTTCCTCTTCCCCATCATCCACCACCACGTCTTTCTCCTCCTCCTCCTCCTCCTCCTCCTCCTCCTCCTCCTCCTCCTCCTCCTCCTCCTCCTCCTCCTCCTCCTCCTCCTCATATTTATCACCCTCTTCCTCGTGCTCTTGCTGCTGCTGTTCTTCCACCTCCTCCTGATGCCCCTCCCTTCCCCCTCCTGCTTGTGCCCCCCCTCAGAGGCTCTCAAAACCTCTCAGAACCTCTCAGAGGCTCTCAAAACCTCTCAGAGGCGCTCAGACCTTCACAAAGGCTCTCATAACCTCTCAGAAACTGTCAGAACCTCGCAGAGGCTCTCAGAACCTCTCAGAAACTGTCAAAATCTCTCAGAACCTCTCAGAACCCTTCATAGGCTCTCAGAACCTCTCAGACGCTCTCAGAACCTCTCGGAAACTGTCAGAACCTCTCAGAGGCTCTCAGACGCTCTCAGAAACTCTCAAAACCTCTCAGAAGCTCTCAGAACCTCTCAGAACCTTTCCGAAACTCTCAGGGGCTCTCAGGTGCTCTCAGAGGCTCTCAGAAACTCTCAGACTCTCTCAGAACGTCACGCAGGCTCCCGAAGGCTCGCAGAACCGCCCATAATCGGAATTCCTACGAATTCATGGGATTCCTAAGAGCGCTTAGGAATTCCTAGGAATCCTTGGGGATTCCGACAAATCCTTAGGAACCCATAGGAATTCCTACGAATCCTTCGGGAATTCGTAGGAATTCCTAGGAATCCGAAGCAGAAGGAATTCCTAAGGATTCCTAAGAATTCCTAGGATTCCTTCGAATTCCTACGATTCCATAGGAATCCCTAGGAATCCATAGGAATCCTTTGGAATTCCTACGAATCCTTAGGAAGTCCTCGGAATCCTTCGGAATTCCGAAGAACCCTTCGAAATTCCCAAGCTAGGCACCCTTAGGAATTCATAGGAATGCCTCGGAATTCGTGGGAATCCTTCGGCATTCCTAAGAATCCTTAGGAAGTCCTAGGAATCCTTAGGCATTCCTAAGAATTCCTAGGAACCCTGTCCTTGGGATCCTAGGAATCCTTCGGAATTCCTAGGAATCCTAAGGAATTCCACGGAATTCTCAGGAATTCCTAGGAATCTGTTCGAATTACTATGAATGTTTCGGGATTCTTGGGTATCCTTAGACATTCCGAGGCGTTCTTCAGAATTCCTGGGAATCCTTCGGGTTTCCTACGAGTTCTTCGGAATTCCTAAGAATCCTTCGGAATTCTTAGGAATCCTTGAGAATGCCTAGGAATCCTTCGCCGCCGCCGCCGCCGCCGCCGCCGCCGGGGAGCCGGCAGCGGCGGCGGCTGCGGCGGCGGCAGCAGCCGCCGCGACAGCGGCCGCCACGCCGGCCGCGGCGCCGCTGGCCGCCGCCGCCGCCAGAGGGGAGCCGGCGGCGGCGGCAGCAGCGGGGGCGGCGGCAGCGGCAGCGGCAGCGGCAGCGGCAGCGGCAGCGGCGGCGGCAACCGCCGCCAGCCAGGGCGGCGGCGGCCAGGCGCCACCGGGGTCCGAGCAGGGCCAGCCGCCGCCGCCGCCACCGGCCGCCGCCGCCTCCCGCGCGCCGGGGGGGGAGGCGGCGGCAAGGCGCTGCCGCCGCCGCAGGGCGGCGCCAGTGTGGCAGCCGCCGCCGGAAGCCATCGCGACGGGGCGGGCCCGGCGCGTACCTGGGCCAGGGGCGGGCTCGAGACGAGACGGCTTGAGCCAGAGGGGCAACGGACCGTGCTCCCAATTCCCAACTCCCGGTTCCCAATTCCCGGTTCCCAGATCGCTGTTCCCGGTTAGGTTCCTGGTTCCCAAATCCCAGTTCCCGAATCCCGGTTCCCGGTTCCTTTCACTGCTGCTCCATAGTGAGGGAGAGAGGAGGGGGAGGAGGAGGAGGAGGAGGAGGAGGAGGAGGAGGAGGAGGAGGAGGAGGAGGGAGGAAGAGGAGCAGCAGCAGCAGCAAGAGGAAGGGTGGGGGGTAGGAGAAGGAGGAGGAGGAGGAGGAGGAGGAGGAGGAGGAGGAGGAGCATGAGCATGAGCATGACCGTGGGGTGCCGATCCATGACCACTCTACTGAATTCTAACAACATACAGCACAGTATGACACAAGAGAAACTGTGCCTGGGTTCTCCGTCTGGAGGACTGGCTGAGATCGCCGAGCGTGCTGATCGGCGCCCGCACGGGGCCGACTCTGGCCAGGCGGCGGGCCCAGCAGGCGCGCGGCCTTGTGGCTGCCGCCATCGGCACCGCCTCCAAGCTACCTGCTTGGGCGGCGCCGTCCCCTTCCCTTACCTGGCGTTCGGGGACGAGGGAGTGCGATGGCTGGCCCAACTTCGGGGGCCGACGGAAAATAAACTGGCGTCGGGAAGGCAGCAGCAGCAAGGGAAGAGGGAGGAGGCTCGAGGCCAGGAGGAGCAGGGATCACAGCAGGGAGAAGGGTAGAAGGGGTTGGGACCTCAGCCCGTCCTGAAACTCTTAGAACAGCCGATTCACTCAACTGCCCCGAGTTCAAGAGCCTCTGAGCGTGATGACTGGAAGCCCAATCGGAACCAACCCCCGAAAACTGAAATGAAGTGTAATCGCTACTTACCCTGCTAACCTGGCCCTCACCCTCACGTGAGCGAGTCTCTCCCTCAGGTACAAGTTTAGCAGCTCGAGTCGGCGAGAGCCCGCGGAGCCCTCGAGCGTAACCCATTTCCGAAGCAACTCTCAGAAGTAACTGACCAGGAGAGACAGCAGGCACGGTAATCACTTCATCTGGTCGAGAAGCCTCTGGGCCTCCCTCACTAGAACTCCCCTGGGAGCCCCGCCGATAGTTTTCTCTGCCCCCTGCTCCACAAGCGCCGCGCGGATGGCCTGCAGGAGAATCACCCCGTCGGCCGTCGTCGTGTCGAGGAGAAACTGGATCTTCACCTGCTCGTGCTGGTGGGCGCTCTTGGTCTTGAGGCGCTGCACGCGGCAGTAGCGCACCGTGTCGTGGGGCTCGTTCGGTGACTTGATCGTCATCACCTTCTGGTCCCAGTAGGTCTTCAGCGGCTTGCGGCTGGCCTTCAGCGTGCCGTCCGCCTCGTACGCCTCGTCCTTGTCCAAGAGCCCGTCGAGCAGGGCCGTGAACGTGCGCAGGAAGGGAGCGCACATCTTGGGCAGCTCGAGAGTCTCGCCCTTCTTCCCCGCTTCGGCGATCTTCTGGCGCCTCTCGCCTGCCTCCGTGTTGAAGCTCGCCCCCTCGTCGAACATACGCTGGGACGCTGCGGCGTCGAGCGGTGTGAGGTACGTGTCGTACACCGCGCCCAGCATCGCCCTCAGCTGCGCCTCGTCTGTCAGCACCAGCTTGGCCAGCACCACCACGAGCTCCTCGAGCGTCTGGCGCTTCAGCGCGCCCTTGCCGCCGCCGCCAGCCTGTGGGCCAGAGCCGGAGCCGACTCCCTGCTCGCCTCCGCCGCTGCGCCGTGCCTCCTTTTGCGCTGGTGGTCCGCCGGAGGAGGAGGAGGAGGAGGAGGAGGAGGACAAAGAGGATGAGGAAGAGGAGAAGGAGGAGCGGGGGAACAAGAAGGAGGAAGACGCGCCACCGAGGGAGCCTTTAACCCCGCCCGCAGCGATGCAGTGGCAACCTGTGGAATGGCCGCTGCGATGCTCCAAAGGGGCCCCCAAGAGGCCACCCAACGGCCCCCAGGAGACCTCTGAGAGATGCCGAGAGGCCCCAAGCCTTCCCCTGCATACTAGCTTTCCGAATCCCCTCTCCCTTTCCTCCCCTCATCATCCCCCGCCTCTACGATAACCTCCCCTTCTATGCTTCCACCTCCCCCCTCCCGTCGACCGCCCCTCCAGCGGGCAGGGCTCAGAAAAAAACGTCCCCAGCGCAGGTGAAGACATCGCTACTACTCTGAGGGGGAACGATCGACCTGGAATCAGCGATAGGTCCCCAGATAGGGAATCCGCACGCTCCTGGGCGGGTGGGGGGCCGTCAGGCCCACATCGGCGATGAATGAGCGATTGGGGGCCGATGCATTCCCTGCTGAGTCTATCCCCCCTGCCGTTGCTCCCCCACATGCCCCCTCTTTGATCCCCTCTCCTCCCCTCCCACCCTCCCCCATCTACCGTCGAACGCCCCACCGGCAAGGCTCACAAAAGGTTGTCTCGGGCGCCGGTGGGGACGTCGCCGCTTGTCAGGAGGCGCTGGGCCATCACCACGGTGAGGAGCCCGAGGCCGCCGAAGGTGCAGAAGCCCACGATGACGCTGTCCCCCGCGAAGGCGGCCGCCGCGGTGCTGAGTCGCACGCAGACGGCGAAGAGCCCCAAGGCGCTCACGGAGAACTGGAAGAGGCACGCAGGCCCTCAGACCCTAGCGTCGCCTCCGGCGATGTTGCCCAGGCTCGGGCCCCGGGACCCTCACAGATCGATCCAGCTCGAAAGGTGGCGGCCAGAGATGGGGTGCTCTCGGCACGCGGGCACGCAGGGTGTCCCTGGCCCAAGGTGTCCGCAGGCTTTCCAGGGAGGCCCGCTTGGCCTCCACAGCACTCCTCACGAGGCCCAGGGAGCCCCAGGGGCTCCGAAGATGGCGCGAAAAGCCGGAGGTACCCTGAACCAGGGACACCCCTGGCCACCCACGAACCGACTCATCGGGCGCCCGCGGACGATTGCTCCGCCAGCACAAGGCTGAGGGGGGTCGGGGGCGGGGGGGGGACTTGGCTCGCGAAGGGGGGGGGATGACCTGGGACCGGCGTTGCGCCGCCGATGGATCGGCGACAGGCCCCCGACAGCGAGACCGCACGCTCCTGGGAGGGCGGTGGGAGCTCGGGCACCGAGAGGCAGCGTATGGGCGATTGGAGGTCGATGCTCCCCCCCCTGGGCCAGTCCCCCCTGTTGCTACCCCTGAAGGACACCCACCCACCCCAGCACCCTCGAGCTGGCGGAGAAGCCACCCGCTAGGCGCGCGAGAGGGGTGGTGCTCGATCGAGGGCGTACTAACCTGGGCTGGCCAGGAGCCTGCCACGAAGCCAGGCCAGCCGCTTAGTAGCTCCCAAAGCAGGGTCAGCGGAGGACGGAGAGGGGGAAAGGGCCCCCACGTGGCTCCTGAGCCAGGTCAGCCAAAGGGGATTGGCTGACCTCCGTTAGCGCTGACCCCCGTTTCGTGAGCCCCGACTCGCGTGGCTCTCTGGCTCTCCGGCTCAGGAGGACTGGGAGCGTGCGGTTGAACCTGAGGCCTAAGACGGCGAACAGAGCGCTGACGGTGGAGACGACCACCCAGCCGAACAACTCGTACGTCGGGTCGTAGTCGCCAGGCAGACAGCTGAGGATCAGGTGCGGCACGGCCACCGTCATCGCCAGACACCCCACGTTCAACGTCCACAGCAGGGAGCAGAAGAGGGGCACGCGCCCACCAGCCCTCCCTGCCCACAGGAGCAGCCAGCATCGAATCGCGAAGTCGGGTCGGATCAGAGCATGCGTGGGATCGGGCTACATCGGCACCCAGACCAAAACGAATCGGATCGGCCGCGCCACGATGCACAACAGCACCGTGCGAGAACCGAGCAGCATCGAATCGTCGCAATATCTATCGAGTCCGACCGAGCCGGCCAGAGCCGATACCGAGTCAGATCGCTCGGATCGAAATCGACCCTGCATCCCCACCCCTCCCCCTTTTTCCTCCCCTCCCTCTGCCCAGCGGGCGTGACGGGCGCACGGTCAGGAACATTCGCTTAGCGTGTCGCTGCGGCGGCGCAGCGACACGTTATGCCCTGCGAGCTGATAATGTGTCGCTCCGCTCCGCGGGGCGGGAGGCTGGGAAAGTCTCGCACCGCTGATGCTCGGGGACTGGGACATGATTAGCGTGTCGCGCCGAGAAACCCGACGGTACATATTCTAGTCAAGCGCGTTCCGCTACTCGCAAAGTCACTACTCGCAATTGGCCTGGATCCACACTGGGGGAGTTACGATACATGACATCGAGGCGAACGCGGGTTTTTCTGACGTTTGCGAGTAGGCACCTTGCGAGTAGTGGAACGCGCTCGGCGATCTTCGGCTCCCCGTATGTGACGAGCTCCACGGAGCTCCACTTCCCTGGAAAGTGGAACAGCGCCACGGCGGCGCCGATGGCCGCGGCCCCGCACGCCAGCAGGCTGCCCGCGGCCCAGCGCCACACGAAGGCATCGCCCGGGCCAAGTGACGCCACCAGGGCCAGGTTGCCCGACCAGATCCCCACGAACAGGTTCGTCACCAGGACGGCGCGGTCTGGATCCTCTCGACACGGAGCGCAACAATCGGGCACACACTCGCATGGATCAAGGGTCCGTGCATCTGGCGCGTGGGCGCCAGACCCACGGATCGATGACATGGCGCCAGTGCCGCCTGATTTGGCAACGGAACGCGCAGACTTGGTATGGGAACGGGACCCGTCGCTAATCCACGCGCCTTGATCCATGCTTGATTTCCTCGAAACAGAAATGCAATGCGCCCCATGGCGCGCTGGCGGCGGCGGCGCAAACTGCGTCAGGTGTGGGTCCTCGGCGGCGGCTGCAGCGAAACCTGTAGGCGGCGGCGTCATGCGGCGGCGGCGGCGGATCCTCTGGGAGTTTCCTCATAAAGACGATCGCCGCCGCGGATGCTGGGACGATGGTGAAGAACAAAAGCTTCAGCGGAGAGGGAGGGAAGTTCGGGAGCAATAACTGCGCGTGTGGCCCTCCCCTCCTGCTGCCTACCCTCTCCACCCCCTTTCCCCCTCCCCTTCCCCTCCCCAGTCCTCCCGCGCGGACCACGGGGGGAGGGGGAGGCGGAGGAGGAGGGAGGGAGAGGGCAGGAGAAGGAGGATCGAGGAGGATCGAGGAGGGTCCAGTATCGAAAGGTTGGTTTGACAACTCTGGCCCCTATGGGGCCTCCCCCTATCCCTTCACCATAACCTCGAGTCTCCATCCCTCCTCACCTCCTCCCCTCCAGGCCCATCCTGTCCCGCTCCTGCCTTCCGGGGAGGAGAGCACAGGACGAGCGAAAGGGTGAGGAGGAGGGCCACCAAAGTGAACCAGGTAGACATCGCTGATGCCACAATACACCCTCGCAACCCGAGCCTGTCATACATCAATACAAGCTTTTGCAGATGCTGAGCGATACTTCCCCGGCCGCTGTCGAGACCACCCCGACCTAACAATCTAAAAGGTGAGGCGGAGGACAAGGGTCTGGCGATGAACTGTATGATCGAACCAACCCGCCACTCCTTCCCCACCGCGGGAAAACCTGACTTTGTTGGTTGCGCAGGTTCGAACGAGGTGCGCGGGGCTGCCCTTCCCCCCTCCGGATCACCCCGGTCATCGCTGGAGACGAAAAACAACATCAGGTGCCACGGTGAGCGCCGAGTGGCGCCACTTCAGCGAGCACCCGCTGCATAGATGAGGCCCTGTGAGTGCCTGCCACAGGCTCAGGGCTCGGCACGGTGGGCCCGGCAGAGGCTTGCGGCTTGAAAAGGCGGGAAGGAGCCAAAATGCAATGGCACTGGAGAACTTTTGTTGCATTTCGGCGGTAACCCAAATTATCCGGTGGGGTCGGGGAAGCACTGACCCGGGTCAATGCAAACCGTGAATCGGGCTTTGCAGGATCTTGCAAGATCCTACAGGATCCTGCAGGATCCTGCACGCAAGCTTGGGTCAGCGCACCCCTGGCTGGCTGACCCTAGTTTGCATCGACCCCCGTCTCTTGACTCCCGACGGGCGGAAGGGGGGAGGTGCCGGCCGATAACCTAACCTTTTCGCTGTGGGCAGCCCTACGTACGCCAGCGTGCACCAGTGCTGCGTACCCCGTTTGGACCTGTGCAAAACCGAAAAAGTGCGGTTGTCCTTGGGGCGGGGTGCTGGCGGGCCCCCTAACCTGGTTGATCGCTGGACCCTACACACAAAACAGTTTCCTGGATGCACAAAAAAACTCTTTCGGACAAAAGCGCAAGCAGCAGGTTCACACCCCAACCTCACCCACAATGTGTACGTCGCATCGAGCGCGGAGCGCGCGAGGGGCGGCGCCAGAAGCGCCGCGGGGGAAAGGTGGGCCACCGCCAATGCACGAAATCCGCGCGGAGCTCCGGAGACGTAATATGCAATGGCATTGACTTAGGAAGTGGCAGGGCCTGAACTGTGAAAAACCTACGGGCAAGCCTGTCACTAGGCTGCATAACGTTGCGAACCACACTGAAACCCCACCAGCCATCTGGGCGCAGGTGGTGCAACATTTTTCCCTCCTCCAAACCCTTTTTTCCCTTATTCGGGGAGGGGGCCAATCTGTGTTCATTGTTATTATGCGTAACTGCATACATACATTACATTTCATTACGTTTCATTACATTACATTACATTACATTACATTACATTACAGTACATTACAATACATTACATTACACGACATTACATTACATTACATTACAATACAATACATTACATTACAACACATGACATTACAATGCAATAAAAATACATTACA